CTCAGCAGTGACTTCTCTGTGATGCTGGCTAATTTCTCTAGGGCTGGATCTGTTTCTCTCAATAATTTCACTTGCAGGCTGGAATCCCACAAGCAACTCTATTTTTAATTAGGAGCTCCATAAATGTCTCCAAAGACATGCATAGTGTCAGAGATCTTACATGTGAAACATAAGGCTCTATTGTCCTTTATTTTTATTCTCAGTTTCAAGCACAATTACTGTATCCCTCTACAGTCTTATTCTGTCCAGGTCAAGTCTTCAAATAACTTTCTCAATGGTTCAATTGTTCCAAGTATTATTTTGAAAATAGTCTCTCCGGTCACTTCTTGTCCTCCTTGCTCAGTGAGACAGTAAAAAGTTTTACTTTCATGATTTCTCACTGCCTTTCATGGCTAACTCCATGTATCAATTCAGTTCTTCCCTCTGCTGAAGCCATGCCCACATGAAGGCTTCAGACTGGCTATTTGAGCACTCAGTGACCTGAGTCCCTTCTGGCAGCTTGCCTGCTCTGTTTCCTGGCTGTCTTTTTCGCCTGGACCATGGAGCAGTTCACTAGTGAGGCTACTACTGCAGTGATGCACATACCACACTGGCTGATAACATAAGCTCTGTCCCATATGTTATAAAGGGACAATTTATCTCCAGCTGCAGGTCACCCTCTTGATCTCTGTGTCCTGATGCCTTCTTTAAGGGCTTCCTGCATAGACCCTGTGCCTGGCCCTCCCTCCTTCAGAACTGAGCATATAGACAATTGAGTAAAAGAACTCGAAAACAGTTTCTACCATCCTTTATCGAGTATTGCTGCTATTGGCCGTAATAAAAGAGAAGTCCTGCTATGGCCTGTAGCAAACACCCCTCAGGTAGCTGTGGCAGATTGGAAGCATTTAAAGATGGTCTGTGTTCTAATACAATCTTTTGGAAAGGACTTTATGTTCCATATATTTTGTGTTATTGCCATGAAAGACTAAATGAGGAAGCACGCTACCAGCTGAAATGCTTATGGAAATTAAATCCATGTTTAAATGAATTTAATGAATTTAATGTGAAATTCAGCCGCTAGAAATTTTGCACCAACTTCTTCTTAATTAAAATGAATAAGGTCTCAAAGAGTTTTAGTTGGGATAGACCAGGAAAGAATTTGTCTTTAAATGTGTAATTAAAATACAATTACATTGGAAGGAAGTCATTACTGAGGTTGTACCTCAAAAGCATACCTAATGAGCTCTCAGGAAGAAAGGTGCACCAGATATATGATATAAAAGGATGCAGTCAGAGAAAGAGGTATTAGTGAGATCATTTCGGTAGACAGTAACAGTTCTGTTATGGTCAAATCCTTCTGGATATGTTCAGCAAGCTATCTGCTTCATCTTAGTTGGGGGTGTACAAGGCACTTCCACAAGTTTTCCTTCTGACACACCTAATTGTTTCCTACCCCTCTCCTGGGAATGTGAGCAAGGAAATCATCTTTCAAATAGACATCTCTGGATGAGGGAAACCTTAGCACAGACAGAGCTCAGTTGCCCAATTTTGGGAACCATTTGACAGAGGTATATTCAAAATATATTCATATTCAAAGGGCCTAATCCAACCTTGGTTAAAACCAGGGAGGGAACTCTTCTCTTGGTCCCTGCGCCAATCTGTATGAAGCCCTGAGAGTAGCACCCAGAAATACGGTGTTAGAGTAATGCACATCTCTGCAATCTCAGGTTTTGTTTTTTACTTTATTCCTATGGCAGGCCTATAAAAGCAGAGTTTAAGAAAGATGACATCCCACAGGGTGCATAAAACAGACAGGTTTGGGAAGTTGGGTGGAAGCGTGAGCATAAAACTGAAGCCACTTTTTCCTCCCTGAAGCCAGAACAACCAGTCATTTCTTTGATTGTTTTGTTTTGTTATGTTTAGGTTTGGTTCTGGTTTTTTTGGTAATGTGGTGTGTTTTGGCTCAAAGTCCACTGAAGTCAGTGATGAAGTTCCTGTTGACTGTACTGAGGTTTGGGCTAGGTTCATAGCAATAAATGCATTAACTTTTGTAACAATCCACATAAGTAGTCAAAGATGGAAAGTTCACAATCCCATTGGGATCAGCTCTATTTCAAAGGTTCAGAGTCATGGATTGATTTGAACGATCTGTAACACCTGGATGTAACTCTGAATTCAAATCGCATCAAGAGAATTTGCTTGTAAGGTTTTGATTTAACTTCAGCTCTTCAGATAACTTTCTGAGGCTTTTGACTGAGATTTTTACAAGCACAGGAACTCTTGTAAGAGAAATGTGGGAGAGGAAATGTGAATCTGTTGAGCAGTGTCCCCTTTGATACAGTACAAAAAACGATCTAAGTAGCCTCATGTTTTAATGAGCAGAAATATGTTCCTGACAAGGAGGTGAATTCAGCACTTAGTGAAATGCACCCTGCTGAACTGGTGACATTCAGTTCATAATCAAAGTTTTATTGTTAAAGAGAAATTGCGGTCACACCCTTCTTATTGAAGATTTAGTTCAATAAAATAAAATCCTGTGACAGTAATTTCTCTATACCCTTAGATTCCCTACAGCAATGCTTGTTAAATGGATAAGAAACATGCAGAGCTTGACCTAGCCTTTCTCACATGAAAGTCAGATGTCTTCACTAATACTCAACAAGGATGTTTTCAAGCAACTAGTTTTATTTTTAATGTGATACCAAAAATGTGTGATTGTCAGTGTTTTGGTACTTCATCTAAACCAGTTTCCGTATCAGAGCTCCCAGTGAAGCCTGCGAAGGGGTGTTTCATATATAACATTAACAGCACTTGTCAACAGGGCATGCCTGAGTGAAGTCAGCCTTCTGTAGCTACAATAAATAGCACAAGTACTTCTTTCCCTTGAACAGTTTCTTTCTTTCCCCCCAGGGTCTTGTATTAACTCACACCTGAAAAACCATCCTTTATATCTTCCTCAAGGTAATTAAAATAAAGATTCAAGCAGATGAGCAATGCAATATTTCTAAAGTGTCCATTTGTTAGCTTGTCAGTCTCTGAGGAATTTCCTGTTTCAGTCGTGACTGGAGTAAGTGGCAGCAGAGTACTTAGCCATGGAAACCACAGCTGGAAAAAACCTCACCTCTTGAAATCACAGAACTCACAAAGATTGACATAGGGTGACATTAACTAACAGAATCAAATAAATAGAGTGGAAACGTGCTCCCCATCACAAAGGTTACTGAAAAGCCACACTTTCGGCTTATGTGAGTTTTGCCTTTTTTTACCAATGTGAAGTGGGTTTTTTAATACTTTAGGGGTGGATGGTGAAATTTAGCAGAGAAACTAATGGCTTGAAGTATACAGCTGAGACAAGGGGCACTGCTCACATTCCCACACTATCAATATCAACACATTGTGAGTGTGACTTACCCCTGCAAGCCACCACCACTGCTCCTCTCCAGCCAGAGACACTGGTCAGACAGTGCTGTCAAACAGAGAACATCGTGATGGCTGAATCCCATGAGGTGTGGACAGAGGCTGGATGAGGCCATTCAACCCTTTTCACTTGTACTTTACACCAGGTTTGAAACTATATAGCTATTCACTGGCTGATATCTCTGCTACTCAACTCACAGGATTGCCCAGGTCATTTTGACTTATATTTTGTACCCTGTACACAGCTTTAAAGATATATCTTCTGTCTAGGCCATTAATTTGTAGGTGTGTAACTAGAATGAATGAGGGGTTTATGTCCAAGAATTTCAGGATCTGCCATCACTTTTGCATAGGGACATGGGGTAATGCCCATTTCATTTTTCTTTTTTTTTTTCTTTTAGCCATTAACAGCAAAACACAAATCTGTGTGTTTTAAAGCAGCTCTGAAATTGCATGGCCATGTAATTGCAATCTATCGGACTAAAAATTAAATCTAAAATTAGACATAAAAACCACAACATTACCAGTCCTGGATTTAAAGCTTATAGTGCTTTGAATTTCTAGGAAAATAATTAAGAATCAATTTAAATGCTAATGGACTGGTTTGCCATAAAACTAGATAGTAGTCGTACTCAACAACTGCATCATAGCCATAGTATTGCTCTTTCCTTCATCGAACTTCACTTGTGACATTGTGTACATAAATTCACAAGTACTGCTGTGTATTGTGGACCTCTGTACAACACTGCAGCAAAAAAGGACTTCCCAGAAATCCTACAGAAACCAAGTTCTCAAAAACTGACTGTAGAGCCAATTGTGGAAACCTGAGGGAGGGTCAAGGGCAGGAGTATTTGTTTCTCTCCTCCCTTACCTGGTGGCTTGCTGTGTTCCCCAGCTTTGCCTATAGGATGTCCCCTATAGTTTGGAGACTTTGAAACCGTCCTGCTCAGACCCGTCTGCCAGTTTTGTGCAGCCCCTTTGGGTTGCACTTCTTTGGGGACCACAGGTGCTTCCCACTGTGGCTGGTGGTGGGATTATAGTCCATTAGAGATTCTACGATTCTATGATTTCCATTTAGACTGGGGTCAGCTTCATTATCACTTCTGAAAGGCACCAGGACTGGGCCCTAGACCATGTTATAGAGGTGATGATGAGGCTGCCTCTTCGCCCAGCACACGACCAGTGGCTTTGTTATACATTTTAAGTGAAGGCCTGGGAATAGCACTTTCCCACACATTTCCTGGAGCAGCCTGTACAGTACTGTACAAGCAAATGGCCCTGCACAAAGCTATCCACATAAACCTAGAGCCTCTGCTCCACTCAGCCAGTCGCTACCAACTTATTCCTGAACTGATGAAATACAGTTTGTTGTGGAGTTGTGTCCTGGGGACAGGCTCTCCAGTGTCAGAATAAGGCTTGGTGCAGATTCCTAGCTGTCTTCTATCTGCTCATCTCTGTTCAATTTGCAGGCATTTCCATTTGGTTACATCCATCCTGAAAAACTAATCCGTGTTCATGGGCACACTGTCATCTACAGTGACAGATCCCAGATCCCAGAGGTCACGATGATCCCTTGCTCCATTCTGGCCTATGCTGAACCAGCATGCTGTGGAGTCAAGCCCAGAACCATTCCCAATACACAGAGTGGGGAGAACAATGTTTAATAACATGGGCAAGAACTGTTCTATGCCAGGGAACAGCTCCAGATGCATTTAATTCTTTGCTATATTCATAGCATTTGAAGCTACTTCCATTTGATCAAACTTGTTTGGAAACTACCTAGCAAATCCTAAAGTTATTTCAGGGAGCTGGCAAGGAAGGAAAGAGGGAATGAAGAGGCAAATAAACACATTTTTCCAGTAGTATTTTTTTGCTAAATATCTGGGCTGAAAAAGAAAAAAAAAAACCCAAGCAGAAAATGGTAGTACCATGCCATGTGCAGTGAGACAGAGAAGAAAGCTTCCCTCCTTGAACATATGGATTGGGTCAAAATAGGGGAACCAACTGCATATTCATTATCTACAAAACATGTGCAAGGGAAGAGAAGACCCAGGAATGACAAGTTGAAGGAGAGTAAGAAGGTTGCCCCAGTGGAGCTGTTGATGGAGGAAAGATGTTCATGTTGTGTCTCCACATAGCAGAATGCTTTCACTGAGCCTACTGAAATGCCACCTGCTTTTCTGCCAGAAGGTGAAACATGATTTCAGTTGTAGTCCAGCCTGAATGAAGATGGAGGGGGAAGACAAAGACTCAAACCCTTGTTAATCTCGAGGAAATATAACCTGTAAGACAAAGAAAATAAGACAGTTCTGAGAACCAGGCACTTCACAATTCCAACAGCTGTGCAAGGCACAATACCATCTTGTTTATTCTGTATTTCTGCTGAGGTCATGTCCAAGAGAGCTGCATCATGGATATGGCTTCCCTGTGCTAAGTTTCCAAACACAGCAGGGAAATGTGGTTCTTGCCAAGAAGCACTTGTGCCAGAGAGCAGAAACACCTCTGCTCCCCTTCTGTGGGCAGAGGGAGAGATGGGGCATGATGGCAGTCACCTCCTCAAATGTCTTGGTGAGCTCAACAGCCTCAGATGGGACCGAGGTGTGGGGACATCTGCCTGCACCACTTGTGAACAATCGGAAGCTCATTTTTATCATGCTGATCATTCATCATGTTGATTGTTAGTGGCTTTGGAATTTAAATATTAAAGGACAGCCTCAGAATTAAATAGGCAGAAACCCCAGTCCTTTTTCATTAAGAAAACATCTGGGGGCTTTTTTTGCCTCTCCCCTGAACAAGTTTGAAAAGACAAGTTATCCTCATAAAGTCTTATAAACGCCCACGAGACAATTTTGCTTTGAAGTATCAATGTGACAGGGCAAAAGCAGAACAATTTGATACTAATGATTTCAGTCACCATCCTAATGCTTCATGTTTTAAAGATCATTTTGCAATAAAGACATCATGATTTTACAGTCACATTAGAATAATAAACCGTAGCACTTATGGAGTACTTTTCCTCTAAAACATGAAATAAACTGGAGCAATAAGTGTTTTTCTCATTTTAGGGTTGGAGAAACTGAGGCCCAAGGACATGACCTTCTCACAGTGCAGCCTGGGAGAACCTCACCTGACTCCTGGTTCTGGGGTTGCCCTTTGGGCTGTGATATCCCTCACCTGCTAGTCCAGACAAGATGACTGATGACAACTCTGCAGGAGAGAGCAGATGCAGATTGATGTTTTTACTTCCTTCCTTGTAACTTCAGGCGCTTCACTAAGACATCCCAAATAGCAGTGTTGAAACTCCTATCAGGAAAAAAATTAAAGCAGAAAGAAGAAGCGACAGGATCTATTCACAATAGACAAGATGAATACAATTCACCAGACCTGCTGACAATCTCTGGAGGGAGGCGGGGTGGCCACAGAGTCACCTTTCCCCATCATTTTTTGCTAGCACATCCTCTGCTCTTTCTTCTGCATGAGAGAGGCAGCAATGTCATCCCCAACCCAGGTGGCTGCATGTCACCCTGGTCCAACAAGAGGCTCCACTGCTGGCATTATGGTCACCACACAGTGGCTAGCAGGCATCCCTTTGAGTGCAGGGAGCACAAAGACGAGAGGCTGCCAATATGTCAGTTTCTAATTAAGATTCACCAGCTTCCAACCTGGCTTGATTCATTATTCATCCGGAAATTTTCTTCCCTAACTTTTTTCTGTTCTTCCGCTGTCACCCACTGAGCAAAGGTGTGTGTTTCCCTCCCGGAAGCTCCATCGATACCTCTGCAGCACTCAGATTGAGACAGAAGAGAAAGAAATAGTTACAAACCAAGTCCTGGAGTGCTCATCAATATTTACAGGCATCTGACAATGACTTATCCTAGACCATCTACATTTAAACTACAGAAATGCAAACGAGGTGCTATTTGCATTCTGAGTAGTAAGGATGGGATATTTTCACATACGACTTTGCTAGTAGAAGGCTGTTCCTCCTCCAGAAATGTTTCCTTTCAGTGCTGTCCTGGCATGTCACTGTAACATATAGTCAGGAAGTCAGTTAGGAAAGGCATTAAAAGAGACAGAGTGGGTTTCCTAGCTCAGAGACTGGTGTACATCGCTTAAAATTTTGGCAAAGGAAAGAGGAGAAAAAAAAGTCTTTGCAGCAATCATTCACCATCAGATCCTCTGCTGCTCTCTTTCATGGCAGTCACCCAGCGAGGTGTAAGCACCTAGCTGATCTAAAAGACTGATTCAGATAAAGCATGTGAGGATTCACATGATTACAGATGCAGGGTTTGAAATGAACATTTCACCCTCCACCCTCCTTCTCCAAAACACAATCCCATGGGTAGCACACTGGGGGTGCAGTGGGAGGGGAGGGTGAAAACAGAAAGCAAAATCCTAAACTAAAGCGTTCAGAGAGAGCTCTCCTCATGAGATTTCAGAGGAAGGCAAGCTCGTACTGATGGGGATGTGATCCCTGAGGAGAGGTTTCACTGCAGGGTGTACGCTGGTGAGGAAGAGCAATGGCTGCCTCCCTGCTGCCCTGGGGAAGGACCCACGGGTGCTTTTGCTGTGATAGCTGTGCTCCCTCACGGCAGCAGCCTGGCTCTGGGACACTTGTTGAAAGCCATCCAGAGCATCAGATGGCACATCAGAGAGCAGAAAGCAATTTCAGCCATGGCATTGCTTCTGGCAGCAGTGCTCATTGCCAGTTCAAGGTTGTCAGCTTCCCAGACTGGTTTTTACTCTCTCCCAGGCAATTTTTTTAATTTATTTCTTTTTAACCACAGCAATCTTTATGCTAGGCACGGTTTGCAGAATTAGCTGGAAAGATATGGATCATCATTTCATCAATTTGTCTTCACATGACTCAGGAATGCACTCCATCTGGGAGTAGAGTCTACCCTCAGGAATAAGGAAAAGTCCCATGGGTGTAGAGATAATTTCACTACATCTTGGATGTGTGAGATGTGGGAGGACAGCCCCCCTCTTTTTTGCCTCTTGCTTGTGATGCTGTGTATGAAAAATTATTTCCAAATGATGAAAGTGCTTACCAGGAGTAGACATGTTGTTATGAATGGCATTGCCTTTGAATTCAGCTTATAATTAGCCTTCTTTCTTGTGCACTTTTCCCTCTTCTTTTTTTTTTTTTTTTTACTTTTTATTTTTAGGGCCCATATCTAGTACATTTCGTTCCCTTATGGGAAAGACTTAATAGTCCATTGCTTGATTTCCATGTTAATTTAGCACGTGGTTTCTCACAGTAACTGCCACCTCCTCGCCTACTGAATATGTACTTTTATACCCTTAGCAATGATCTGATAACACTATCAGAGCAAAATACATAGAACAAGAAACCATGGGGATTAGATATCAAGGAGGACACTATAGGGACTATGTTAATTGAGGCGATCAGCAAGATTAATTGAGGCGATCAGCAAGATTAAGATAAGTCTTGCTGCTTCCTTATATTGGTCTTAATAACACAATGCAGAGCCCCAAGCACTTTACCTACTGTACAATGCGGTTAAGTCCCTTTCTTCCCTAGGGTGTATAATCTAATCTTCTAGATAAAACACTTAGCAAAGTGAAACCAGCTGGTGTTAAAAGCTGTATTTCTAAGATACAGCACCTGTGTAAGGTTTTAAAAACTACTAAAAATAGTGAAGGCCAATAAAAGTTGTAATTTGATGCGTATGTACGTACATAACAGAGATAGATGGAAACGTGTGTGTTTGTGTTGTGTGAGTGCACAAGCTGGCCTGAGCTAGGTTGATGCTGCTCCAACTTCAAGAAGGAGGTTTGCCCAGGCCATCTCCAGAGGTCTCTCTAAACAATACTTCCCTGATTTTCTGATAGAATCCATGGGAGTAGTGGTGCTATAATTTAACATTATCATTTTTTAAAAGATTATTCCTGCTTTAAGAATATTAACTTTTTTCTTCTTTTTTCTTTTTAGGACGTCTCTCTGCAATTAAAATGAAGATACCTCTGCAGGAACTGATTTTACATAAATAGACTTTAAATAATGGAGCTGTTGTCAAGAAAGGAAAAAAAAAAGCACTACCCAAAGCTTTTTCAAATCAGTTCTTGACAGAGTTCTTCAAATGGTGATAAACATTGCTGGTGTAATGACTTGCCACATGACCTTGCACTTGAAGTGCCAAGCAAAGTGAAAAATAACACACTCAAACAAGAAAAAGTGCTGATTTTGATTCCCAAAATAATATTTTTCTAGATGAAACTATTTCTGCTGTGGGCTAGCATGCACATACAGAGAGAAAGCTGAGGTTTTCCTTCAGCAATATCTGACATTTCCCTCTCAACTAGATAACTGAGAGGCTATTTGGGTTCACTAAAAACACTTCTGCACATCTGGGAGCAATAGAGCTCAAAAGCAATTTGGGAGGAAAGATAAGTCTTGCAGTCAAGGCAGAGGATTAAGGAGAGTTCAGTTCAACTCTGCCCTGTCTGACCTCTGAGTCAGCCTCTTCCTCCCTTCAAGCATCCCATTCTCACAGGGTTATGCGTATCAGGAGCTTCCCCTTGGCTGGAGACCGTCTCCTACCTCCTGCATCACCAGAGCACTTGTTTCCCAGTGGTTTATAGAGCAACATGAGGAGCCTGGGAAGCAAGGAGGAGAAACTGAAAGTAATCCCTAATGGAAAGATACTCGATATAACTGGCCTACTGAAACCTGGAAGGCTTTGTACAATGGCAGTCTTAAAAACACCAGCTAAAACTTGCCTAGGCAGGGCACAGGATGTAAAAGGGGAGGTGGCACACTCTTCACCATTACTGGTTTGGGGACGGCAGGCACCTCAGAGGCAGCAAACCTCCTCTACCTATGTATCAGAGAACTGCTTCATAAACTGTACCCACCTTTGAAACCAAACTGGTGTCCTTCAGAAGACTGAGACCCTTTGCAGCCTGGGTCTGGGTGCAGACTGGTGTCCTCCTTTGGCATTGGGCTCTGTGTCAAGGAAAATTGTGCTGAAGCAGAAAGCACAGGCTGCCTAGGGAGAGCTGCCATTACTACCCTGATAAGCTGTGTAACTCCAAGTAACGCATACACTTGGTACTTAAAGACACTAGTTTCCCAAACTGAGGAAAGTTACAGGTGAAACTGAGTGTAAAAGTTATTAGGAAGAATCACATATTAAATGGCCAAAAAGCCATTACTTCACGGTAAAGGAGCTGAATAATATTGGTGAAAAGCCCATTCTCTTTCAGCGGAAGAATGGAGGTAGGAATAATGAATTAAAAAGCAATATGCAACATATGGATAAAAGGGGGTGGTAATAAAAATTCATATAAATAAGAGTTTATGAAGTGTAGAAAATTGATAAAGAATACTAAAGACATCAGAAAAAGTCCATGGTTGCTCAGGCTTTGCTTAAGATGAAGAGTTTCTAGAAAACTTAGGAATAATAGCAGAAAAACTATCAACGCCATAGTCTCATTGCTAGTTGGAGACAGCCTACTCGTTAAAAGCAACAAAGAAAAACCCAGAGTTGCTCAACAATTATTTCTGCTTTCTATTTGGAATAATGTATTTTCTGACCTGTTTCTAAAGAATAAAGAGATTGAACAACTTGCACTAGTGATATGATATCACAACGCAATATCTCTCCTGAGCGTGTGAAATTGGCTTACTGCATGCTGGGCATGAATCCACTTTTTGGACAACACTAGGGCTAATCATTTTTGAAATCTGAAGGTCCACAGAAGTGGTCCCCAAGACTCAATGCAGGGTATTTTTAGCTTGTGCGTTTAAATTTTTAGTAAGTCATGAAATAATGGGGAAATTCTGAAAGGTTAATGTCAATATTGAACAAGAATTCCAAGACAAATGAAACCACACTGGCAAATATAGTCCAGTTTACTTGGTATCAATCCCAGGCAAAGTGATGGAGAAATTGATGGAAGATTTAATTAATAAAGAATGATTGATCACCTGAGGTGGGAAATGTAATTGTTTAACGTGCAAGGGTCAAGTGTGCAGAACACTGAGGATCAAGGCACCAAAGACCAAAGCACTGCTTCCCCTTGGTGGCCAAGACAGATGGCATTATTTCCCCCTTCGGCTGTCCCCTAATCCTGCAAGGGGTGGGTAGTCACCACAACTGAGGCCATGTGGTGATGGGAGACACAATGTAAAAGCTGCAAGAACCAAAGATAAGGAGTCTGAAACATCCCAGGGGGGGTGGAATATTGAGGAGCCTCGTGGGTCCTGGTGGTAGAGGTGGTCTAAATGGCCACAGTAGTCAATGCAGGGCTGGGACTGTAACAAAATGAAGGACAGT